AACATCGTAACTGGAAAGGTCCGTATAGGATTGACAAACGGCTGAAGCACGCAGTGCATCCAATCCACACAGCTGGTAGCCTGAGGACCAGGGGCGCACCCAGGAATATATTTTGGGAAGGGTTTATACTTCTGAAAATTCGCTTCAGATAAAATGATCATTAAAGTACATTTATGCAAGTTTTATGTACAGTATGTAATAAATAAATAAACTTTTTGAAGTTTCATAAACTGCATTTATTTACATAAAATTAGCAGAAAACTCAAACATTTGTAACCGACTTCGAAAAAGGGGTAAGTTATCAATTCGTCGGAATAGTATGCTAACGCATAACTTTGGACCACGTGAACCGATTTCAATAATTCTTTTTTTATCGGAAAGGTGGTACCTCAAGGGTCTTCCCGTAATTTGAAATTAGTTGTTTAATATAAAGTTCTATAAACACAAGACGCGCTCAACTTGCAAAAGTAATAAAAAAATTAAAAAAAAAAAAGAGTTTTAATGTTTATTTTCCTCGATATCTGGTTTCTGGTTTTCGAATGAGATGGTGATTTTTTACGATTGCCAAATTTTTTTAATATTCGAATACCGAGAAAATTAAATGAACTTGAATTTTTGTTATGTAGGCAATTTTGGTGGAACGAATTCGAAGTGGGCAAATTAAATCTTCGAATCCATGTTAAGGACATATCAGTTGTAAACTCTTTGAGGCTCAGTAAGTGAAATGCATTGCATATTTTTAGGTTTCATTCGCAGTTAAACTTTTAAGAGCTCTCAAAAAAAAATGAAAAATTCATATAAAATGGCGCACAAGAAATGGAATAGGAATTTTCTTCTATCAAAATTTCTTAAATCAATTTGCATCTCTCAAGAAAAAAATGCTCGTATCAAGGCACATTAAACAGGTAGTATCAGTAGAGCAAAAACAACATTTGCGTGTATTTTGTTGTTGCTTCTGGTATCGAAAGTGTCAACAACTGTTCTGAATTTTTTCTCCTAAATCAAAGCGTGCCATGTAAAATACAAAAAATTATAAAAAATAAAAAAATTGAAATTGGAAAAAATAAAAATTTATGCAACTTTCTTTCCTAGTAAATTTGTTTGCTTCTCGAAGCATTGATCCATCCTTTGCAAGGCCCAGTAATCAGCGGTCGTGCTGCCGAGTTGGGCGAACGTTCCAAAAGCTGCTATTCAATCGCTTGTTTTGTATGGAAAAAGGTTTCACAAGCAAATGGATTTTAACAACTTATAATTTTCGTGAGAAAAAATTAAAAATATTTGACATTTTCGAGACCAAATAATTTGAAAATAAATCAAATCAGCTGCTCTACTGATACTACCTGTTCAATGTACCTTGGCTCGTATATTTATTTCTTCAATAAAATGTACAGCAAAAGCAAAGTGCTTTATAATAAAAAATATTTCTTTTGATTTTTCTTGAGAGCTGGCTTTAGGATACAGTTTGTATTTCAGGTTATTAGCTTTAGGGGGGAGTTTGAACCCCAAAACCCACCCCTTGTGTGCGCTAATGCTGAGGACCAAGATGAAAGTGGTCCACTTGGAAAGTCTTGCAGCGGTTGGAGCGGCAAGTGTATCTGATCGGGACGATCAGACTTAGGTGGAGAGCAGTGTGGCGAATACTTCGGCAACGCGAAGCGAACAACGAGAAATAGGCAGAATGTTCGAGAAATGACGTAGAATGTTCCACAAAGAGAAACGTCAGTTGGATGAACAC